TTGGTTGTGTCTTGGGCTACTTCAGTTCGAGGAAGGCTCATGTATTGGTATTGAGAAAAGTTTGATTCCATGTAAATGTGTGCAAATATATATGAAGTATGGTAATAACCAATGTTGCATTACTTGAACGAGTTAAGCACAAATCTGCTAATCAAAAATTCTGAAAATAAATACTTAATGCTAGAAATTTAATTTACACATTGAAGTCAAAGATTTAATGATGGAATTAATATTTAAATGCTGAAAATTGTATTTAAGGTGATGTACAACTCATAATAGTTGCAAAGGCATGCATTTTGAAACTAAAATTCTATAGAAGCCAAAACTACGACGTTAGGAGCGGCAATTATTGATTACCCATTCGATATGTGAGAAAGAGTCTTTCATTTCCAGTTTCCTTTTTTCAATTTATTTAATAGCTTATTGAATTTAATAAACAAATATAAAATCCTTCCTTTTCCCAATAGCTAAAAATAAATAGAAAAATATTTGAAGTATCTTGCATTCTTTGACCCATGGAGAGATATACTATGGAGTTTTGGATTCATTTGAAGGAAAAAGAAACATAGCAAAGAAGACAATATAAGAAAACAATTAAAAAGAAGGGGAAGGAGGGGGGACAAAATCAAACAAACGAATTAATGAAAAAAAATTCAGATACTATAGTAGTTTAGTATACATGTAAATTAGCCGAATCTATAAAAATATTAGTTCCCTCAATATGACAAACGAGATCGAAGAATAAGATTAGGATTACCTAATGGCATAAATCTAGCACCTGGAAAATACATGACCACCTAATCAGCAATTGGTGAAAATAGATTAATACTATTCTATCACACAATTATTAAACAGGGTTGGGAGTTATGGTTTCTTCAATTTGTTATTGTAATTCCACAACTAATTTTCAATGCTTTCGCCTGAGACTCTGCCGAACTTGTACTCAATGATTGTTATTGTTGAAGTCTGGTTCAATTGGGTATGATGTCTTTTGATGGTGATTTTCTCCTTGAAATGGTTTAGTCTGGAAGAAGTTGATAAAGTTAAAGAGCAATTTAGAAGGCCAAAGGGTTAAGCTTTGTTAAGAAATTTAGAATTATCATGCTCTTAGAGATTGTTGATACTCTTGGGAGCTTTCGATGGCTTTTTGACTTCCGGATCAGACTAAAGGCAGGTTTTCTAGCCTAAAAAACATTCATTGTATGAAAAATGACAGCCTACATTTAAGGTTGCTTTTCTTTGAATGCTTATGTCATTCCTCTAATCCTGTGATGAAACTTTCCTCTTCTGATTTTTTTTTTTTTTTTTTCTTCTCTATATTCTTATTGATATAAGAAATGGAAACAATTATCAAATTCCATATCTGTTGCTATTGGAGTTTTCTACTATCACTACCTTCTTTGTCCAGTTCAGTTGGTTTCTTGGGGCATGTGATAGTTTTATGCCTCGGATAGTTTTTAATTTTTTGTTTTTCTGTGTAACATTATCTCAGGGAAAATATAAGGACACAATAAAGGATTGCATGAAAGTATTGGAACTAAATTCTAATTATCTGAAAGCTCTGCTTAGAAGAAGAGAGGCTCATAAGAAGCTTGAACACTTTGAAGAGGCTATTGTTGGTAAATTTAGATTCAGTAGATGTGCATTATTATCAATACATAAAATGATAGCTACCTGCAGGTTGCCTTTGCTTTCAATCTTGCATTGCACTCTTTCTCTCTCAATAGCAAAATATATCTATTATTGTTTCCTTGTATAATGTTCTGATCCTTGGTAAAACATTTTTTACGCTCTCATTTTTGCTTCTTCCTTTTATTGCTTTGCAGATCTGAATAAAGGCTTGGAATTGGATCACACGTTGGTGGCAGAGAGATGATATAAAGCAATCCTCGATAAGTGTCTTACTTCATCAAATTCAAATTAAAGAAATTGAGTACTAACACGTATAACTATAAATGCTGCAAACAGACTTTTTGCAATTGTTGTCGAAATAGGGTAACTATAAAATCAAATTCAAGAGCAGGATTTAAATTTCGACGGAAATTGAGAAGCTAAAGCGTGAAATCAACAATAATAAATATATTGTTTATAATTGACAAGATAGAAAAGAAGAAATATTATGTATTTTGTGTTGAAATTTTCTTGAAAAAAATATTATCTCTTTGCCTTATTATGTTATTTTTATCAACGATAATAGGACCCCATGCGTGGGTCCAACTTGTTTATATAAAAAAACGGGTGAATTACATTAATAGTCTCTATAATTTAGGACTTGTGTCACTTTGGTCTATGACTTTTCAATTGTGACACATTTGATCTTGAATTTTGAATCTTGTTCCAAATAAGAATAATTGAAGATATCATTAGATTTTTCAAGGGTAAAATCGTCAATTTGATAAAATATAAACTAATTTGACAAAAATAAATACCAAACAAATATTTTTAAATTTTTAAAAATTATTTCTACTCACTAAAATAAAATTATATAAAATTGATAAATCTTTTAGACATATATATATTTTTTTACCAAATTAATTTTTGTTATGTGTTTGGATAATGATCATGTAAAATTAATTTTTAAAAATTAATCATGTAATTTTTATTAATTTTTTTTTATCAATTTTAGATAATTTTATCATTGGTGGATAAAAATAATTTTTTAAAAAATAAAAATATTTTTTTGACATTTATTTTTGTCAAATTAGTTTATATTTTATTAAATTGACGATTTTGCTCTTGAAATTAAATAATGATATCTTCAATTGTCCTTATTTGGAATAAGATTCAAAATTCATAATCAAATGTGTTATAATTAAAAAGTCAAAAACTAAAATAACATGAATCTTAAATTATAGAGACTATTAATATAATTTACCCTAAAAAAAAACATAAAACAAATTTTGAAAACGTGTTAGACTTTTTTTCCAATTGTTGACTAGAATTGCAAAATGGAGGTCCAATCCAAAAATCAAGTCCGTATTTTAGATGTAAAAATAAAAAATTGGGAGTTCTGAGATGACAAAATTAAATTGTTATTTGTTTTTTCTTCGTTTCCGCACATTTTTTAATACTATTCAAAACCGATCGGCCACGTCATTGGATAGACCCATTCAATTGAATGACTGTTATGTCCTCCTCCACACACCACTTGTTTCCACCAAACTTCCATGGTGCCCTCATATGTTCATCTTATTAACTTCGATTATTTTTTTGGATCAAACTCGAGTTTTTTTATTTATTTTTTTTATTTTTTTTTATTTTTAAATTTGATTCATATAAGATATTATAATAAAATCTAATAAATTATAATCATAATAATGAATATCAAATATAATACAAATTTTTTATAAAGAAATTTCAAAAGTGAAAGAGAAAGCACCAATTAATATATATGGAATAAGCCTCACACATAGGTAGAGAGTTTTGATCAAATTATTTACAAATTAAATTTGAGTAGTTTTTTAATTTTTTATACAATACTATAGTGTTTTTAAATTTATCAAGCCAAGTTTGTAAAATTAACAAATTTTCCAATATTTTCAAATTACACAAATAAAAATCAAGTAACTGAATTCATTTTACATTTTACAATGTTATTTGCTAACAGGCCAATGTATATTGAACTTAACACTAGTTGAAATTGACAATACTATAAAACATTTTTTTTTAAAATAAAATTTTAAATTGAGATTTAAGATTAGATCACTTTATTCAAATTGGTAGATTTTAAAAATAATTATTAAAATTTAGATTTGATAATTCCATCTCCATTAATCCAAAAAAAAAAAAACATAAATTTAATTCTGGAAAGAATAGCAACCAGTTAACCCCCAACCACCTCAACAAGGCTAGTGTTGTTTGTTCATAGATTATTTTAGTAAAAAAAAATACTACAAATAACATTCTCTTTATTTTTTTTTACATATTTATTCATAAAAAATTACTTCAATAATTAAAGGTAAAGCTAGGGATACAAAATTTTCTATTAAATAAATGACAAAATGTCTCATATGAGTGTGAATTCACACTTTTGTGGACCCCACACTAATGTGAAATATTTAGGTTGTGTTTGGTAGAGTTTTGTAAATATGATTTGAGAGTATGAGTTGTATTTTGAGTTTGTGAGTTGTGAAATTATGATTTGAGTGTAGAAAATTTGTTTGGTTATGGTTTTTGAATAGAGTGTTGGATTGAGTGTGAAATTGAGTTTTAAAAGTTTGATTTGACATGTGAAGTAAGAAAATTTGTTTGGTTATGAGTTTTGAAAGGAGTTTTCAAAACTTAATTCAAATTGTTATAACTCATAACAAAACACATTACTTTCACACTATTGAAAATTCTGATAACACTCATAACCAAACTCTTTTTAAAATTCAATTAAAAAAATTTATTATTAAAATTAATCAATTTTTTAATTGAAAATACTACAAAGAAAATAATTTTTTTCAAAATAAATATTCAAAAAATTTAAATCATAAATATTTAAATAATTTAAATAATCTAAAAAAATATTTTAAATTTTAAAAAATTAAATCGTAATATTTTTGAAATTAAAATATTTAAAAATATTCAAAAAATTAAAAAATTAAAATATTGATTTGAATTGAGTTTTGAAAAAGTTTTGAATTATGTGTTTCGTTATGAGTTTTGAAAAGTAATGATTATGTTTTGAATTGAGTTTTAAGAAATGGGTGTAGAATTATGATTTAAAAACTCAAAACAAACAACACACTCAAATCAATAGATGAAACTATAATTTTAGAGGCTTATCAAATGGAGCCTTAGTTATTCATTTGACAGAAAATTTGACACTAGCATTTTTCAATAATTAATTCCAAAACGAGCAGAAGTAAGGGTGTTTTGGGCAAATTACTTTGCAATAGGAAGGGTATAATAGTAAATTGGCACATTCAAATTGTACCCCAACACCCAGATTCTCAGAAACCTTTACCTTCGCTTCTTCTATATAAACACCTCCCCAGCTTGGACCAACTACCTCGCAAATATATCTGTTCATCATCTTCTTCTTCAATCTTTCTCTCCCATTCAAACCCATCAACTGTAAGTAATCATTAAAATTTCATTTTGTTTTCTTCATTTTCATTCTCTTGATTTTCAATTGTCTTACTTGTATATACCTATTTAATCTCTGTTAATTCAAATTTCCAGGATTGACAGATCTGTGTATATATAAATCTCATAACTTAGCTTGTAATTGTAACTAATTTAATCTGATTCTTGTTAAATATTAAAAAAAAAAAATGAATACTTGTAGCTGTATTGGAATTTCCACAATGAAACCCTGTTGTAAAATCTTGATTGGTTGTAGGAATTCATCAATTTTCGGAATTTTCAATTGTCTTACTTGTATATACCTATTTAATCTCTGTTAATTCAAATTTCCAGGATTAACAGATCTGTGTATATATAAATCTCATAACTTAGCTTGTAATTGTAACTAATTTAATCTGATTCTTGTTAAATATTAAAAAAAAAAATGAATACTTGTAGCTGTATTGGAATTTCCACAATGAAACCCTGTTGTAAAATCTTGATTAGTTGTAGGAATTCATCAATTTTCGGATTTCCGTATCCGAAATGCAATCACTTGGTTGCTGATAATTTGTCGAAATCTCAATTGAAAGCAAACAGTTTACGTCGATTTCGCACTTGTAACAATAAGATTTTAGGGTTTAGATGTGTTATTGATTTGAATCGGAGGGCTTTTTGTGTATCCGATTTGAGTTGGGGTCAATCTAGGGTTTTGACAAGTCAAGGTGTTGATAAAAGCAAGCGTGTTTCGGTTATAGCTAATGTGGCGTCAGATTTTAAGAACCATTCAACCTCAGTTGAAACCCATATTAATGAGAAGGGCTTCGAGAGGATTTACATTCAGGGTGGCTTGAATGTGAAGCCTCTGGTAATTGAGAGGGTTGAGAGAGGTCCCGATGTAGTGGACAAAGAGTCTATGGTAGAAGTCAATGGTTCTAAGGTTAATGTAGATAATTTAAAGGGTTTGAATGAGGAGAAGGTTTCAACCCATGAGAGAAGGCTGTCCAAGATTGAAAAGGAGGCTTGGGAGTTACTTCGAGGTGCTGTTGTGGACTATTGTGGAAATCCTGTTGGGACCGTTGCAGCTAAAGATCCTGCTGATAAGCAACCATTAAACTATGATCAGGTCTTCATTCGTGATTTTGTCCCTTCGGCACTCGCATTCTTGCTTAATGGAGAGGGCGAGATCGTCAAGAATTTTCTACTTCACACCTTGCAATTGCAGGTACTTATCATTTTCTTATTTTCATCTCACTTGTATGTCTTCTTTGCCCTATTTAATAGCAAAATTTCTCTCCTCCTTCCCCTCCCCCTCCCCCTCCCCCCCTCTCTACCCGCTAATAATGCAATTTGCTACTCATTTAATGGTGCTTATAATGATTGGCATGTTTGAATTATCTTGTATTTTCAAATTTCAATGACTCATTAAAATTTTTGGTGAGCTCATCCAAGCAATAAGTTTTGAATGGAAAGGGTTTTCCTTCCCTTTTATTTTGGACTTGCACTTCAAGGTTTCTCAGTTATAAATTCTTCATTGAAATGCACTCTGTTCGGAGTTTAATTCAAATTAAAGAATGTTTCACTGTTTCTTGTTTAGAGTTGGGAGAAGACTGTGGACTGCTACAGCCCTGGGCAGGGGCTGATGCCAGCAAGTTTTAAAGTCAGACCCGTGCCTCTTGATGGAAGCAATGGAGCCTTTGTGGATGTCTTGGACCCAGATTTTGGTGAATCAGCCATTGGGCGTGTTGCACCTGTTGATTCTGGTAAGATGACATTAGATTTGGGAATTTTGGAGTTACAACCCTTGCTAAGTTGCTATCGGGTATTTTGCTTATAGAGATTTCTTTTAATGTCTCTGCTCTGCAGAATATATTTTGGTTCTGGATATACACTAACCTTTTCATCAATTGAACAATGACATTGGTCTGACTAGTAACGTAGTAATTTCATGGTGAGCTTGAGTAGCTGGAAACAGGAATTTGAAGCACTGTTTCTGTTTTGATAGGTTTATGGTGGATTATTTTGTTGAGAGCTTATGGGAAGCTGACCGGTGATTATACACTGCAAGAGAGGGTGGATGTGCAGACAGGCATAAGATTAATCCTCAAGTTGTGTTTAACTGATGGGTTTGACATGTTTCCTACTCTCCTAGTCACTGATGGCTCCTGCATGATTGATAGACGGATGGGTATTCATGGCCATCCTCTTGAAATCCAAGTAAGTTGAGATGTTGTTTAATGAAGCTCTAGACCTTTTCCCTTCATAAATTTCAGGTTTCTGTTAGATTTTGTTTGTGCACTTAATCATAGCAAGCTGAAGTATATTAGATTCATATTTCAATGATTGTCACATCCTATGAAGCATAGACACAGCAAAATCAGCGCCGTGGCGGTGTCGGACGCGGGGACACGCTGGGGACACGGGGACACGTACGGGACACACCATCTGCCGTGTCCCTTTAATTTAATTGTTTTTCTTGTAGGGGATGCGCGTGTCCAGATCTGGACACGGCGTGAGACACGGCAAGGAGGGAGAGACAAAGGAGAGTGTGTGAAGGAAGAGAGTGAAGAGAGACAAACCTGTCAAAGATCGAAGATCGAAGCTCCATGAATCCAGTCGAAGATCGAAGATCCAAGCTCCATCAGTCGATCGAACAATCGAACACCCCAGACGATCGCGATCTGTCTCTCTCTCTCGCCTTCACAATCTGTCCCTCTCTCTCTCTCTCTCTCTCGCGATCGCGACCTCGACGTGTCTCCCTCTCTCTCTCTCCTTCTCTCTCTCCCTTGCTTCTGTCGTTTTATCTGAGGGTCTAACTATTATTATTATATATTATATAATAGTTATTATATAACATATAGTATATTTATAAGATAATATATAATACATATTGTAAGATAATATATACTCATACATATTAATAAAAAAATAAATAAACACATGTATGTAAAATAAAATAAAAAAATTAATTATTTAAAAAATATAATAAATAAATAAAATAATTAATGTGTATTAAAATAAAAATATTTTTAAAAAAATAAAAAAATTTACCGTGTCCCTTGCCGTGTCCGTGTCCCTATTTTTTAGAAATTGCTGTGTCCTGTGTTCATGTCTGTGTCCGTATGTGTGTCCGTGTCCGTGTCCGTGCTTCATAGGTCACATCTCGTGGTGGTCATGACTTGGCAACTGCAACTGCAACTGCAACTGTTCATATGTTTAATAATTGTCACATAACTGACTTTGATGCAAGCTTTCAAGTTATCTTACAATGTGGTTCTAACTCAGAGGTGGCAAATATGGAATAATTGTATTCAGGGGTGAAGTTATGCTTTCTTGATGATTTGAACAGAAAGGATTTGGACTGGGTTCCTCACTCAGTGCTAGTTAATTTCTAAATACAATACACCCACTACATAAATATAAATATGAATGAAACAGTTCCTGTGTGGTACCTCTAGTATTGTGAAGCCCCTTAACATGTCCAATGTCAAGCATTTTAAATACTGAGCTCCTTTTTATGTCAGAAAAGCTTGTGTGTGTTCAGGTTTTTGGGAATCAATGTTTATTGAGGTTGTGGCAACATTTTACAAATTTTCTACATTTCAGTTGTCTACTGGTTGCTTTGGCACCTCTCTGAATGTGGAGGATTTTTGCTCTATTGCAATTTACAGTAATCTAATTGTTTGAGAAACCAGTGTCACATTACATAAGATGTAGACAAGTATTTCCTCAATTTCAAATTGGTTAGGTGTCCTTCAGGTGTTCAATAAGATGCCCACTGCTTTATGCATCATATTTCAATGTGCTTCCTGTCGTAACTGGGCGATCTCTTGCTTGATGTACTTGAAATTACAGGCTCTATTCTACTCAGCTCTACGCAGTTCACGGGAGATGCTCATTGTCAATGACGGAACCAAGAATTTGGTGGCAGCAGTCAATAACCGGCTTAGTGCCCTGTCATTTCATATCAGAGAGTACTACTGGGTTGATATGAAGAAAATAAATGAAATTTATCGTTACAAGACAGAGGAATACTCTACTGATGCCATCAATAAGTTCAATATTTATCCTGATCAAATTCCTTCTTGGCTAGTAGATTGGATTTCTGAGGAAGGTGGTTATCTTATTGGCAACCTACAACCTGCTCACATGGATTTTAGATTTTTCACGCTTGGAAATCTTTGGTCCATTGTTTCATCTTTGGGTACGCGCAAACAGAATGAGGGTATTCTAAATTTGATTGAAGCCAAATGGGATGATTTTGTGGCACACATGCCTCTAAAGATATGTTACCCTGCTTTGGAGTATGATGAATGGCGTATAATCACTGGAAGTGACCCGAAGAATACGTAAGGCTCTTTAGGGTTTTCATGGTTTTCTTGCAATCTCTTGGATCTCTAGATAACTATTAAGCTATGGCATATATTATAATAAAATCTCTGTTCTTGCATGCAGCCCATGGTCATATCATAATGGTGGATCCTGGCCAACTCTTCTGTGGCAGGTACTTTTTATGGTTGATTTATTCATGGTTTCTAATGACCTTTGTTACAACTTGTGGAAGTGAGAAACTACAATATTATGAAAGTAGTTTGGTTATCAATCTCTTAGTCAGACCATAATGATATTGAGTTGTTCAACATTTCAACTCTCTTATTTTTGTTACTGGTTGATATTACAGTTCACACTGGCCTGCATTAAGATGAAGAAGCCAGAATTAGCAAGAAAGGCAATTGATTTGGCTGAGAAGAGGCTATCAGAGGATCAGTGGCCTGAATATTATGATACACGTAGTGGGAGATTTATAGGGAAGCAATCTCGACTTTTCCAGACATGGACGATTGCAGGGTTTCTGACCTCAAAGATGCTATTGGACAACCCAGAGATGGCATCCTTGTTGTTTTGGGATGAGGACTACGAGCTCCTCGAGATTTGTGTTTGTGCACTTAGCAAAACTGGTCGAAAGAAATGCTCACGTGGCCTTGCCAAATCACAGATTCACATTTAAGGAGAAACCCATTAGGAGGAAGAACTTTTTCAACTAGAAATTTAACATGGAGCTGCTGACTTCTTGTACAAAGAAGATATCAGATACTTCATGAATTATACACAGATGAGTGTGTGCTGTGTATTTTCTAACAGCCTATACTACATCAATGTAAACTTCTAATATTATGCATCTTAATTGAAGTAGATAACTGATTTGAAGGTTAAGGGCTGATGTTTTGAAGAGCCTTTTGACCTATTATTCTGGTTTTAATGTCAATCATGACAGACTTTGGACCTTCTCAAATATTTACATTGCTAGTCATTTTATGCACAACTGATATTCTAGTACTCAGCCTTTCTTTGTGGTTCTTGTTGGATATTTCTTTTAGTCCTTTCTGACTATGATGGAGTAAGTTTATCTTTTGTAGAAGCATGTGAGTTTTTTAGTGTCATTCAAGAGCTTGGTTGTGCACCATAAACTGACGACCAGAAGGTCTGAGATTAGTGTGTGTACTTTCTTTAGATTCAGCAAAAGCTGTTTGTCAAGACAGCTATTGCTAGGCTGTAGAAAATCTGTTGCTTTTCCGTTTTTAGCTTCAGCCCATGTGAAGGCATGTTGGGAGAGAGTAGCGATGCACCAACTCAACATGCTAACATGATGTTTCTACTCAACAAGCTAACATGATGTTTCTGGACTAATAAGAGCAGTAACCATAAGATGAATAGAGTCAAACAAACCCAAGATGGTCAGGTAGGTGGCAAGATTGGCCCCATTTTTTCTCTCTTTTTTTTTTTTTTTTAGGTGCAGTCTTATTGGTCATGTGCACATCGGCATATACCAGTATGCTGGCACGGTGGTGTTTCTAGACTACTGAATATATGAGATGGCTAGAGTAATCTGTCTTGCAATTGTCATGGCTTCCAAGTTTGTTCTCTAATGTTTTGGAGAGCTTCTTGACCTATGATCACTTCATCTAAATTCAGGAAGCTGGTCATGTCCAACAAAAGCTGAGAAGCATTCCAAACAAGTAGCATTGTTAATAAAAAGTATGAAACACGTGTCTAAATATACAAGGATTATCTGTTTATATCCAAATGTCGAGGGATACTGCACTAGGAGTAAAGCGCTATGGAGTAAAAGTGTATATTGAATAGTAATTTAGACAATGCGGTTAGTTATGTACATGAGTATTAGTCTTCGACTTAAGTCATTAACGGTATAGACAATCCACTTTAATCTACAAATTACAGGGAGTTGTGTACGTGTTTCTAACTGTAGATAGATTGCATGAAACACAGAAAAGTAAAGTGAAAATTTGCCCCCAAAAAAAAAACAAAATTTGCATTGATGATCAAATTACACTATGATAACTTCACCAAATTACACTATGAAAACATCAGAACCCAATTCTCATAAAAAAAAGATTTACCTTCTTCAAAAAATCTCTGGGAAAGATTATAGAGCAAAATTCACGTCTAGGGAGTATTTTTTTTTTTTTAAAAGTAGTGTTCATCTATGAAGCTAGCTTGGTGTTAAAACTTTGCTTCTGGTAAGGCAATTTCATCATCTTCCAGTATTCTAAAGAGATTGAGACGACTCTCTCCGAGGCGTAGAGAATACGCAGATTTCTTGTATTCAGACCAAGTGAAGGGCCAGTAGAGAGATGGCCTGCACTGCGTGACCAACTCCGGTATTGCGGCAATGGTGGCATGGAGTGGTGGTGCACCAAAATAAGCCATTGACATTCTGGACTTGTATGGGTTGGTCATGACTCTATGTCTCACACTCACAAACCTTCCATTTGTCATTGCCTTCATAAACAAATATCAAAGTTTAATTCGCTGGCAAGCAGTAATGCTATACATACCTTGACTAAATCACCAAGAGAGAATAAATAAAATTCCATGTTTGGTTTTTTTCATTTTTCGTTTTTGACAAAAAAAATAATGAAAATTATCGTTTTCATATTAGTTTTATTTTGTACAAAAACAGTGTTCAATTTTTGAACATTGAATTAATCCAAGTCATGAGTATTTCTTAAAATGAAAATGCTAGCAAGTATCCTAAGGTATTGTTTGTATTGAGATCGGAATAAAAAATATCTTAAAAATAAATAAAACAAAGTTAAAAGGTGTTTTAATTTCAATAAAAAAAACATAATGAAATCAAATAAAAATGTATAAGTTTTCTCTAAAAATATATATAATTTTTTTTTTTGGCCTTAGAATCATTTGTTAGGAGGACATTTCCAAAACAGTGGTATTAATATTATGTTGTAAAAATGATATTCTCAAAAAATAAAATAAAATAAAATAAAATAATTTTTAACAGAAAACAATTTGACAAATTTTCCAAGACAACGCTGAATTTTCTAAACAGTAGTAATTGGTACCACTAATTTGATACTCACTAAATCACCACTAATGAGGTGAAAAAAAATAAAATAAAATAAAATAAAATAACACTGTAATAGTGAATCATTAGTGTCACAAATAATTAATAGTCTCAAGTATTTTTCTTTTTAAAAGACAAGAAAACAGTTTCCTCAAATTTGGACAAAACTAAACTTAACTGATTGGATGGGAACTGATGCGGGGTGGGTCCCATCAATCCAATGCTATATGAATTCTGAATTTTGGATAATTATTGACTTCGGATAATTATTCAATAATTTTACTGACTTCGGATAATTATTCAATAATTTTAAAATATAGATATATAATATTTTATAATATAGTAATTAAAAAATAATAGAGATTTTAAAAGTTTTATTAAAATTTTTATTTTTCCAAAATATTCCCAATGTGATATCTGCTTCAAATTGTTCAAAAAACCTCTATCTTTCTCAAATAAATGTTTTAAATTATACACAAAGTGTGCACAGATCTTGTGTATCTATATCTATAAGAAGCTTTTTCTTCTTGATGGCTCCTCTTTTTTTTTCCTCCCCTTTTTGCCCTATCTTCTTCATGGCTCGTCTTTTTTGCTTAATTTTTTTTTTTTATATAATTTTCCTGATCAATGTCTTTCTCCCATGTCATTTCAGTTTTTTTGCAACTTTCAAACACTGTTATGTTATTATGGCTACGATGACTGAAACAAAGAAAACAGAGTAAACAGAAACAGAGAAACATAAACAGAATACCTACCTGTAACACGTCACCCACATTTACACAGAATGTGGCAGGGTCAGGAGAAACTGGGACCCACACCCCATTCTCTGGAGAGATTTGGAGTCCACCCACATCGTTGGATCTCAAGATCGTCAAGATCTGCGGGTCTGAGTGTTCTCCAAATCCAATCCTATTGTTGTTGTTGTGATGATCGTGATGGTGTGGGTGATGAAAGGGGGATGATGACGTGTCCTCTTCCTTATCTAAGGTGGTGGCTGTGGTGGTGTGTTTGAGATTAGTGAGGATGAGCGGTGGATAGTGATTGATCCTGAGGAGTGAGTCATTATCAACGTCCCTGATTAGTTGGCTGAACACTGATGATGATGATGATGATGATGATGTGTCTGATGAGACCCACAAGCCCAAACCCTTTGCCATCAGATCCAATAGTTCACATGCCAAATCTCTCACTGCTTCTATGTAACCCCCCACTGCACAGCTGTCCACCCCCACACACCAAACCAAAACACACACACCAGACATTAATTGGTTGGTTAACTCATCAGTCTCGCACCTACATATAAATTTTTAAATTTCTCATCTTTTGTTTTAAGGTAAATTATAAATATTTTATTGAGATTTATTTAAAATATAGGTTATTTTTATGATTTGACAAATTATAAATATTCTTTTATTAGAATTTTTATTTAATAGAATTAATTAAAAAAATAAAATTTATAATTACTTTCATATACAATAATAAGATTATCTAAATTATTAATTTAAACATATTTTTAACATCGTTAAAAACTCTTACTTGATTTGATAATTTATTAATAAAAAGAACGATTTGTTATTAAATTAGAAATCTTAGATATAAAGAGCTTGTTTGGTTTGTATCTCAAAATGTAATTTTTGAGAAAATTTTTTAAAATTTTGTTTGATTCAAATTTTTAAATTTTTTTTTTTCCTAACTTGCTTTCTTTCTCCTACACATCAATCAATCACTTTTTCTCTCTTCTCTATACTTTTCAATCATTTTTTCTCTTATATATCTACTCAACTATAATAAAATATCAAATCATTCCAAACTCCCAAACTATAAAACTATTTTCAAAATATACAACTAAACAAACCAAAAAAAGTTTTAAACTCTCTCCCCAAATTTTGTTTTGAAAATTTATCTTAAAACACAAACCAAACACACCCAAAATATAATTTTAAAACCATAGCAGATGATTCATATTTTAATTAAGGGGCCATTTGGAAACAAGCTAAAAAAAGTCAAAAGTTAACTTTTAACCCATTTTGGGTGACATCAACTCTCACATAAAAAAAAAAACCAAAAAAGTTAAAAAAATTAAAAAATTAATTTTTAACCAACTTCTCAAATCATCTCCAAATTTCAAAGAATATATTTATAATTTATTCTTTATTTTACTAAATTGTCAATTATGAAGTACTTTAAAATAGATATTATAACATATCAATCATGAGCGACAAGAATACATACGAATGCATCATGTGACATGTTCTTTTACACAATATCAATAAAACAATAATTCAATTACTATATAACTGTTATTACAGTACAATTTTTTATTTTTATATAGCCTATGTTTGGGGAGAAGGTTTTGTGATTTTTTTGGCTAAAATAATCACAAAAAATAAAATAAATTTTTTAGTTTAATAAGATAAAACATCACATCCAACTCATAATTATTACATTCTTTCTCTCACAAAAAAATTAAAAAAGCCAAAAAAATCAAAAGTCCTTCTTAAACCAAACTTTTTAACCCAAGTTAAAATAATCAAAAAAAATTAAAAAGTCAAAAAATTAACCCGCTTCTCAAACGAAACCATAAACTAGATGATTATACTATTAGATAATATTTTACTGTTTTATCCAAAACTCACTTTTTTGTGGTGTTGGGATTGGAGTTTAGTTTGAGTTTTTGAGTTTGGAGGTGGGGTTGCTTCATTTGGTACGAAAGGTCATGCTTGCTGTTTGGTCCATACCTGGGAGGTTTCTACTTGTTCTTTTTTAATCTTTTTATTATTATTATTTGATTTGATTGGACATTCCTTTCCTTTCTATTTTTCTTTTCCATTCCATTTTTTTCCTTTCCTTTCTCTCATGCCTCCGTATATAAAATATAATATATATGATATATTATAATACTGATATTGACTTGTCAATGTGATTGTTAATCTTTTTGTGTTGCTGGCATTCTAGTACATCATCAACCAGAAGGTCAAGAAACTGCTATATATATATATATATATGTATTATCATGTCTATCTTCTTTTTCACAGTTTAAAATTAGTTTAAATTTTTACTCTAGTTTAAATAATTTATTTTTTTATAATTCTTTCTGGTTGGTTGATCGGTAATCGGACTACAGCCCGTAACATTATTAGAGTTGAGAGGGGGAACAAAAAAAGTGTGCTGCTACATCTTCTACCAGAACAAACCCTAGTTGGAGAAACATCTATGAGTAAAATGACAAACCCTGTGTATAGTATTCTAGAGACTCCCCTTTTTTATTTTGGTTTTTCTAAAAAGATATCAGTAAAATGTAACATGGTATAAAAAAAATCCAAAGGAATGAAATATTACAATGAAATTGAAAAAATAAAAATTAAAAAAGTGAACTAGGTTTGGGATTTTTGAAGAGGTGGACATGAGCGTTGCAATATTGAAAAGATGAGGAAGGGTTAGGGTATTGGTCACTTGCACTGGACACAATTCATTAACATCACAGTTATCAATTGCACCAAACAGAGGTGTTGTGTTGTTTGGTGCTTATAAAAAAATAATAATAATAATAATAAGGTACTTTTAATTTTTTTTTTTAGTTTATTTTGGAAATCTATGTTAGCTTGTTTAGTGTAATTTTTATTTATATGTTATGAAATAAAAATAGAATAATTTAAACAAATTTTAAAATTGATAAATTACATCAAACAGAGACAAAGATGTGCTAGGATGTCAAGAGGGTGCATGGCCCTAGAGTTGTGGTGGATAGATCTGCAAGGGCAGTGACGATAGCCTAAGGCGTGGTGGCAGAGCAAGAAAAACGATGAAATAGATTAAAAAGAAATAGGATTTTTACCCAAAGAAAAATAAGTAAAAAAACAGGGGCAATTTTGTTTCATCAAATCAAAGTTAGATTCCATAATTTAATTCAGTGTATATTAAAATTTTCAAAACTATTCCGTTAACTAGATATTACTTTTTCAAAATTTACCATTTATTTGATATATACAGGAACACAGCTCGTAATATGATAAAATAAATTTATCATAAAAAAGTAATGTCATACAAAAAAATAAAAAAAATTTCTATTAAATACAAAAATAATTAACCAGATTTATATTAATAAATATATATGTAACTTATAATTTTGTTTTTAGTAATAAAAAAATTAAATAATGAAATTAATTAAATATTAACATTATCCTACGTGGAGACAGGACGGGACAAGGGATGCTATAGCTGCCAATGATATACATGCAAAGAAAGAAGAAATAGAGCTTAGCATAGCTTAGGTTACCTACGTTCATCCCTCCCTCAACTGCACGCAAAATAGGCCGATGATATGAGCTTTCAATGCATATATTGATCCTCTAGCTAATACATACTAAACTTTAAAATCAAATAAATAAATAAAAAAAAGAGTATTTGTCAAAAAAAAAAGAAATTAAACATACTTTCTAATCCCAAGATGTGTCACTTTATTAAAATATATAAATCAAAATTTTCTCTTATTTATTTCCTAATTATCAAATCATTTTTTGACTGAGTTTAAAAAATGAGTTTATATATTATTTTTCATAAAAAAAGTTTTTCATGGCATTACAATACTATAGTTTATTTGTTACTATCATGTAGTATGATATGAATATGAACATGGACAAAACTAACTAGAAATATAGTATCATCATCTCGGAAGTGAATTAGTTATTGTTTTTACAGGTATATTTCTGTTTCCAATTTCATTAACTTATTGGATGCTAACATGTAAAGCTAGCTCTACAAAATTCAAACATACTCATATTTATGATTTTAAATATAGACTGATATGGTATGTATTGGATTTGTGTTATTCTAATACTAATACTTCCGATATAATTTTAAAAATTCACCATGTATATGAAACATCCATATTAGATGAGAATGCTAGTACCTGAATTTTAATGGGTCATTGGAGATAGTTTTGGACCTTTGAGAAATGGAGACAAAGTTGGTGCTGAGAAGTAGATATTCAACCTCTCCAACATCTCCATTGAAGCCAATATTCTTGCTTCCATAACCATACGGGTTAACTGGCCCGGCCCGCTGTTTTTCGCAGCCTGGTTTAGCAAAAAATCCATAGCTTTCTTCCTCCATCCTTGTAATGACATCTTCAGGAACACCATGATTGATCACCTTGAAGAAACCAAACTCTGAACAAGCTTTTACAATGAGCTTTGACACCTCTGATCTCTCTGCCGAGAGGTCGATGATTGGAAGCTCAACTTCTCTGATTTTTTCAATGTGAATTTGGGTTGGAGTGGCCACCACCATGTTTGTTTTCTATGGGATTGTAGTGAGAAAAAGAAACTATGAAAGGGAAGAGAACTTTGAGCTATAAGAGGAGGAGATAATGGGATATTTATAAGAGGGATATAGAGAATTTTTTGTTGCACAAAAATAAAATACAGAATAAAGTGCAGGTCTTATAATGTGTAAGGGTGCTTAACACTACAAGAAAACTGGGTATATGAGACGGAACTTTTTGCGACGGCACACTACAAAATAAAGTGCAGGTCTTATAATGTGTAAGGGTGCGTAAATTTCAGTCAGATCTACCTCTCATGAATTAAATAATTTATCAATGATTTAAACTATTTATATAATACGATCATTTGAATTGATTAATTATACAAAAAATTAAAATTGATTAGATAGTTATAATCACATAATTATATTATATTTATCTTAAAAAAATAAATAATTTATTCTCAAAATCATATTTTTGTTTAATTTTTTTAATAATATATGTAATCTGATCATATAATTATCATTATTTGATTATTTAATTTTTTACATATATGACATGTTCAAAAATTTGAATAAATAAACGATTCAAATTATCGAGTTGCCTCTCATGATGGGTCTATTGCACCTAATGTATAAGTCGGTCTCATTAGATGGCCCAATGTGAGATAATCCCATTTTTAAACTTTTTTATAAATAAATATATACAAATAAACTTTTGGTGAAATTGACTTTCATGACCTGCTTTGTTGTCATGCTTTCTTGACTAATCAAGGAACCATTTTTTGAAATATATATTTTTTAATTTTAAAATATTTACGTTGGTTCAATTATACATAAATTTTAAAATATAATTTAATGATTGTGGTTGTTAGGAAAGAAAAGGATAAAAGAATTTGATAGAAGATCCCAAACTTGTTAAATAAGCTCTTCTATTTCGTTTATCACCATTATCATCATCTTTCTTCGACTTGATTCTCTTCTATATTCCCCCGTTATGTTTTTCCCACTCTGTGTCATCTATATTCCGTACTTGATTTGCAAGCAAGCAAGCAAGCAATCTCCAAGCTCACTCACCTACTGTCACTAATTCCTTTTCTCTAGAACAAAAAAAAGAAAAAAAGAAAAAAAAAAGAAAAAGAAAAGAAAAGGAGAAGTAATTTTATTTGCGAACATCAATTTTTAGTTTAAAATTAAAAAATATTTAAAATATAAAAAAACAATAAATTATATATATATAAAAATATTTCATTTTCTCTCTATTTTTTACACATTTTTTCATGAAAAATCAAAAAGTCATACCAAATATAGTAATTTTTTTTTATCTCATATTTTTGCTCAAAAATCAAAAAAATTACTAAAATAGTCTGTTTGCAAATGAGGCCTTAAAACTATCTATTTTTACTCCAAATTAATATTGTACAATGCCTTGCACATATTGTCCGCTTTGGCATTCCGACCGCACGGTTTTGTTCCTCCCCCACTGGGGGAAAAGGCCTATGCAAGGTAAGAGGAGCCAGCCTGCTTATAAGGTGGGAAAGTAGTCCCTCACAGACCGACGTGGGATTTCCCGCACACTAACATATTGCACTTATCATATTATTCTAGTTGTTTCTATTTCAAATATTAAAGTTTTACAATTGTATATTGTGTCTGTGAGTAAAATAAAATATATTGTATTATTTATTAATTTCTATAGTATTTTCCTCAAGTCAATGATTTACTTACATGAATCCAATCAAAGTGAGTCATTCAACTATACATGGCAATTGAGTTAGGAACACGAATTGTCAAATTATAGGTTAGTAGTGGTAGTATGACTCATTTAGCAGACATTTAGCTTGTAGATTTTTTATTTTTTATTTTTTAAGATTGAAAACCACCTTTCAATTGATAATTTGGCTAATGTTTCAATAAAAATAACACTTAAGCCTATGACATAAAGCCTGTTGGGTGCAACTAACAAGCTAAAATTAAAAATCATAAAGTATAAGGGAAAAGTACTATCTTCCTATTTTTCAATAATTTATTTATTTTTTATTTAATTATATCAAACACTCTAACACATATTTTAAAAATAAAAAAATTATAAATAGCTCTATAAACTATACCAAACAATTCACTACTCTATTCTATATTGCATCACCATCATCGATGGACATTTTCTATGGTTAGGCATGGGTTTGATTTGGATAAGATAGGGGGGTTTTTGTGCCTAGTCAAATAAAATGGAGCAATAATTGAGCAACTTCACATAATAAAGTTGTCTCTTTTCATTAGTAGGAGTTGAAATCTAAGATAATGACCTACCCATTTATAGATAATATTTTTGGGAATCTATAAATGATTTTGTTGAAATTAATAAGGTCTAGATTCCCATAATGATTTTCATTGTCCATATCTACCGACTTGTTATAATTAAACAAGAATGTTACATCCTTTTAATTTATCATCTCTAAATTACTTCTAATGATATGACATTAAGATTAGATATATATGATGAAATATTTGACAAATTAAAATTTGGCACTTATCAGACACATCATTAAGAATAATTTTTTAAAATGATAAATTAAATATTTTAAGTATTTGTAGTACAAAAGAGATATCGCGAATTAATTAGCTCTCGTTCTCTCCAACTCACTTGGCCCCTTACCATTTATCAGAAAATCTGTTGGGACCTATTCAATCTATCATACTATTTTACCCAAAAATTATACAACAATGACCCTTGTGGTCAATGTACACGTGGTCCTAAATTTATAACTTTCAAAAAAAACTTTGTTACAAATGAGAAAAATTATACAGTATTCTTCAAATATTATGTGATATTTTGATTTTTTTACAAATAAGAATTTGTAAACTATAGTAAGTGAATTATTTTTTATGTTTAAAATATTTAAACAAATGTGAATAAGCATTATTTTACCCATAATTTTTTTTTTATTACCTTATGATTATATTACATAGACAATATTATATGATATTTCAAAACTAATCAATAATGGACTATTTTGAAAAGTAGGTTAAAAGTCAATTTTTTTAACTTTTTTTGATTTTTTTTTTCAAATATATAACAAAATAAGGGGTGATAAAACTTTAAAAAAAAAATCTAAAACTCAACCTTTTAATTTTTAACTCAATTTTCAAAATAGGCAAATATGTATAATTTAGCACCATCAGTTCATATTTTGACCAGTCATGCTGAATATATTTTTCAAAAAAGTGGGCCCCAACAGTATCAGATTTTGAGTTTTGCTTTTTTTACCTTATAACTAATCCTAATTAGTTTGGATCAAATTTGTCCAACCCATAAATATGAGTATGTTTGAATTTTCTGTCTTACCATTTTATTTTTATTTTTATTTTATTTTTTGAGGGGGGAGGGGGGGCTACCCATTCTCTACCTTCCCGTTACAGATGTCGCCGGGGCCATTTGGTATCTGGTAGATAGGATAGGACTCTCCCAGATGAGATTCCTTCCTGCCAAACAAAGTTTTGTAAAATTTGATTTGATTGATCAATTCATGCTTACTACTGTTGTCAGCGACAATACTAGAATTATCAATAATGATTCATCCCACTAAAAACATCACCACTAATAGCACTAATGCATTAAAAAAGTAAAAAAAAAAAAAAAAAAAATTCCAAGACCAAAACATCACATCATTAATGGCGGGACCCACTACCACCTAATTAGTGGGAGCACTAATTAGTGCTCCCAAGCATTTTTCTATTTTTTTTTGTGAGGCTCCGATTAAATAAAATAAAAATAAATGATTTTGATATATTTATAGGGAAGTGATTGGGACCCTAGTGGAGGTCACCCCCATTGGCTCTCTATTGGTCAGGCTTTTTATTTTTATTTTTTTCTTCTTCTCCAAGCCATTTTCTATATTTATAACATTGTCATTGAAAAGTAGTAAATATTTTTGATCTTGTGAGATCAAGCTTTTGCTTTCTAGACTAGATATTGTTTTGGCAATTCGGTTAAAAGTTATTTTTTTTTAAATTTTTTTAAGTCATATCAGCTCTATATTTTTTTTATATATTTTTAAAAAAAATATAAAAAATTGACTTTTAATCTGCTTCTCAAAACAAGCAGAGTTTGAAAGATCAATTGTTGATATTTTCATATTAGTGACATTATTGTTGTTGAGATTAAAGAAGCAATAACAAATAACAAATATGTCCCTGAAATTATCTAAAATGATTAAAGTTTGTAATTCTATGCACTTATAAACAATTCAAACATGGTAACAGTATAATAATACAATATTACTGCAAGATCAATTGTTGATATTTTCATATTAGTGACATTATTGTTGTTGAGATTAAAGAAGCAATAACAAATAACAAATATGTCCCTAAAAGTATCTAAAGTGATTAAAGTTTGTAATACACACTTATCAACAATTCAAACATGGTAACAGTATAATAATACAATATGATAATATTACTGCAATTGTCACAAATCATATACATAAAAATAAAAAAATAAAAAATAAAAAGAGGGGAGAAGAAGAATGAACTCTAGTTTTGGGTGATTTGCCTGAGAATTGAGAGTTAAATTTTATTAAAATAATTTCTTTATTTTTAAACTTGATTTTTTTTATTTTATATTTTTTATTTGGATCACCATCTTTTTTTGTTTTTGTTTTTATTGGGTACAACGGAAAGTCATTTGGATCACCATCAACGCCACAAGTTGGGGGTTCCTTTGCATGCCCAAAAGTCCCATCAGCAATTTATGAAATGTACGAAATAGTCTAAAGTCCAAACAAATCAAATAATATATAAATAGACATATTTGATAAATTTTATAATTAATTGCACATGATAATAATTATTGGTTGACACCACTGTGTGACAATTCAATGGCGACCAGCAACCAAGACTTGGCTAATTAATTTGTAGATTTTGACACACACATATTGATTTATTTATTATTAATCATTAACCAACCTTAGGCCGCCAATGGGCATTTATTTAATTTACCTTGTAATTTCCAATTTTTCCTTAAAAAAACTGACATGCTTTAATGCTTAAATGTGGATATCTCTATGGGACCACATGTATATTTTTAAGAATATAATACAAATTTAAAAAGATAAAATCATCATAAA